CTCCACCAGCACCGGAGGAGAGCCGGCCCCGCCCCAGGACTGTCTGTCTGGTTCTGGCTGAGCCTTCAAGAAGGAGGCCAGCGTGAGTTGCCCCTGGGCACACTGCCTTTTCTCCAGGAGAGGTGATTTTCTGCACATGTCCTGCTCTGTGAGGTGCCTGCAAGGGGACATCCGCCCTGCTCCCGGGGACTGCGCTGTCTGCTTGCACTGGCTTCTTAGACTCTGGGGCCTTTTGTTTTCTGTAAGGTGAATCGGGTCTCTGTTCTGTGGACAGGACCGAGGGCCAAGGAGGGAGGAGGACTTGCTGGACTCGAGGGAAGGCAGGGGAAGGGCTGCCTCTAAGGAGCCGGGCCCTCAGAAGTCATCTGGGTTTTCTGTTTTGAGCCCTTTGGGCAAATGGAGGAAACACTTGTGTTGCAGTGGGTCAGAGGTTTCACTCACTTTACTTTATTCTCAGAATGCCTATTTGTGATCACATAGGCTTGGCTTGGAGAGTGCACCCCCAGGCTAGACTGCCTTATTGGAAGTAGAAGGTGATTTGTGTCAGTGACTAGCAGCCTTGGTGGCATCGTGGTGACATGTTAGCTTGTGATCTACAAAGCCTCTAGCCCCAGCGGTTCTCAACCTGTGGGTTGCGACCCCTTTGGGGGTTGAACAAACCTTTCACAGGGGTCACCCAATTCATAACAGTAGCAAAATTACAGTGATGAAGTAGCAACAAAAATGATTTTGTGGTCGGGGGTCACCACCACACGAGGAACTGTAGTAAAGGGTTGCAGCATTAGGAAGGGTGAGAACCACTGAGCTAGCAGCTCTTCAGGAGAAGGAAGGACGAGGTTTTCTAATCCTGTAGACAGTGCTGTCTTGGAAACTCACAGTTCTGCCTTGTCTATGGGGTTGCTATGAGCTGGCGTCGACTCAATGATTGTGATTTTTATTTTTATTTTTATTTATTTTGAGGCTGGAAGCACCGGGCCTGCCAGCATCTGGAACTCAAGGACCCGGTGCATGGCTCGCCCTGCTTTATGCCCAGAGTGGGTCTCCCAAAATCTAGC